CTGCCTGGGTCCTCCCATATCCTATCATGCACCCTGCCTCACTCCTCACTACATTTTGGGCAAGTCCTCCCATATCCTATCATGCACCCTGCCAGTCGCCCCACCGCGTCACGGGCGGGTCCTCCAATATCCCACAATGCATCGTCGTTCGGCTTCGCCCCCCCACTCCACGCCCGAAACGGGTGGAGGCGGTGATGCGCATCGCGCCGACTCCGATTGGCCGCTCTCCGGCTTCGGGCGGTCCTGGTTGGCCGCCGTGACCGCCCCTTGCCTTGATTGGCTGAGGGGCCCGGTTCGGCCGGGAATTGGCGGCGGGTTCGAATGTCCGTTCCCTCCCTCGGCCCCTTCGAGCCTCGAGCCACGCACCCCCGCCCCGCCCACCCATGCTCCGATTGGTCGGTCCGTCGCAGCGGCGGGGCAGCGATTGGCTGTCGGCCCCGTGCGGTTGGCCCCGCCTCCCTAGGGAAGGTACTGGAAGGCCGGCAGCGGCCGCCATTTTGTGAGTTGGAGCGGGAGAGGTCGGATCGAGAGTGTGTATAATTGATATATTTATTCATTATATATATGTGTGTAGTCCCTATAGTAATGCACGGGGGAGATGGTGGGTCGATTGGTCTCTTTGCGTACTGTATGATCATGTCTGTACCAGCCCCCAGAAGTGCTGCCTAGTTCCACCCATTCCCCAACTTCCTTTTAATGCTTTTTGTTCCTTATTCTTTCACGGGATGAGGGTGTCGCTGACCAGGCAGCATTTGTTGCCCGCCCCTAATTGCCCAGGGGGCGGTTAAGAGTCGATCACAGTGCTGTGGGTCTGGAGTCACATGTAGGCCCAGACCAGGTAAGGATGGCAGATTCCTTCTCTGGAGGACATTATTGAAGAAGATGGGCTTTTCCAACAGTCGACAGTAGATTCACGGTCTCTCTCAATTCCACATATTTTTATTGAATTCAAATTCCACCACCTGACGTGGCGGGAATTGAACCCGGGTCCCCAGAATGTCTCTGGATTAACAGTCCAGCGATTAAAACCACTAGGCTATTGCCTATATTTCATGAAATATGCACGCAGCTCCCCTGGAATCTGCCTCCACCACTTCAACAGGTAGCACATTTCCGAGTCCTAGCAACTTCTGAGTGAAGAGGTCTCCCCTTGTTCTCACTTCTATCTCTCTTCCTGACGTTGTGACCCCACCCCAGCCCCCAAACTAAATAGTTGGGGGGGGTGGGGGGGATGCATTCAGTTGCATGGAAAATGATGAAAAGGTAATGGAGAAGAGAAGGGCGGCACAGTGGCTTAGTGCTGCCTTACAGCACCAGGGACCTGGGGCCAATTCCACCCTCTGGCAACTGTCTGTGTGGAGTTTGCACATTCTCCCTGTGTCTGCATGGGTTTCCTCCCGTGCTCTGGTTTCCTCCCACAGTCCAAAGATGTGCAGGTTAGGGGGATTGGCCATGGAAAATGCAGGGTTACAGGGATAGGGTGGGCAGTCTTTTATTTTACCCACCTTTATTCGTTAATGGGATGAGGGCATCCCTGACCAAGCAGCATTTATTGCCCAGAGGGCAGTTCCTGTGGGTCTGGAGTTATATGTAGGCCAGACCAGGTAAGGATGGCAGTTTCCTTCCCTAAAGGGCATTAGTGAACCAGGTGGACAATGGATTAATGGTCACCATTAGATTTTTAATTCCAGACATTTATTGAATTCAACTTCCTCCATCTGCTGTGGTGGGATTCAAACCCACATCCCAGAACATTATCTGGGTCTCTGGATTAACAGTCCAGCAATAATACCACTAGGCCATTGCCTCCCCTGGGTGGGATGCTCTTTGGAGGGTTGGTATGGACTTGATGGGTTGAATAGCCTGCTTCCACACTGTAGGGATTTGTAAAAAAAGGGCTCAGCTGAGGTTATTAAAGTTTGTAGAACAAGTAATAGGGCACTGTATTGGAATGGATCAGGAATCTAACTTCAGGCACAGCAGATAAAGGGGATAATGATGGGAAAGGGGGCTGTCAATACTGGATTGAGGGTGTGGTACTTAAATGCACGCAATATACGAATCAAGATAAATTAGATTGTGGCCCAGATTGAAATTGGCAGGTATGATGTTGTGGGTATCACGGAGACATGACTGCAAGGGGATCAGGACTGAGAACTAAATATCCAACAACATACGTCCTACTGAAAGTACAGGCAGAAGTTGGGGGATGATTGCCTTGTTGGTAAGAAATGAAATTAAATCGATAGCAAGAAAGCATATAGAATCAGTAGGTGTAGAAACTGGGTAGAGTTGAGGAACTGCAAAGGAAAAAAGACTGATGAGAGTTATGTACAGGACTTGGTGCAGTACTCAGGATGTGGGGAAGAAAATAAATGGGGAGGTAGAAAAGGCATGTTAGAAAGGCACTATTACAATAATTATGGGGGATTTCAATATACAGGTGAACTGGAAAAATTAGTTTGGTAACGTAAGGTGAATGAACCCTGAGGGAGCAGAGACCATAATGTGATAGAATTCACCCTGCAGTTTGAGAGGGAGAACCTGGAATCAGATGTAACATTATTACAACTGAAGAAAAGTAACTACAAAGCATGAGCAAGGAGCTGGCCAGAGTTGATTGGAAGGGGGAGCCTAGCAGGGAAGATGGTGGACCAGTACTGCCAGCTGTTTCTGGGGTTATTTCATGAGGCACAGCAGAAATGCATATCAAGGAAGAAGAAGCATGCTAAGGGGAAGAAGAGAGAACCCATGGCAGTCAAGGACAGCATAAAAGGAAAGGAAAATGTATACAATTTGATGAAGATTAGTGGGAAGCTTTTAAAAACTGGCAAAGGATAATTTAGAAAAAGGGGGATGAAGGTGAAATATGAGAGTAAGCTAACTAGTGACATTGAAACAGATTACAATAGTTTTTTTTAAGATATCTGATAGGTAAGAGAGTGGCAAGACATTGGACCGCTGGAAATTGAGACTGGAGAAGTAGTAATGGGGAGCAAAGAAATGGCAGAGAAACTGAATGGCTACTTTGCATCAGTTTTCCCAGTGGAAGACACTAGTAGCATGTTGGAACTTCAAGCAGGAAGATCCCAGAGTGTTGAGACAACAAGGTGCAGGGCTGGATGAACACAGCAGGCCAAGCAGCATCCTAGGAGCAGAAGTGTTGAGTTCCCTTTTAGGAGATTCCTTCACACTTGATACAAACGCAATATGCCAACTTCTGTGAAAAGCCACAGTTTATTTAAAAGGGTGATATCGAAGAGCTACCATCCACGAAGAGGGTAAGATCCGGTGTGGGTAATGGGGCGTCTGAAAGGTCCAGTCGAGGGGAGGTTAAGAAGTGGTTGCGCAAAAGGCAATCATGGGGGGGTTCTAGGAGCTCTTCTGGTGGGGTACCCAGGAAGGTCGCTGGGTTGACAGTTGAGCAGTAGGAGAAAGTCAGAAGGGGATTATTAAGAAGAGCTACCTCATAGCGACTTAGTCGTGCCTGTGTAAGATATTGGGTCTGATGGGAAGTCAGGAGGGCTACAATAGCATGTGATGAATAGACTGTCAGGGGTTGCTGGAGAGTAATATTGGAAGCAGCTGTTACAAGGGAACAGGAAGATAGCAGGAAGAATTTGTGAGCAAGGTGGGAGACCCATGGCTACAGGGTCAAGATGAGTCGAGTAGTAGGCCACTGGTCTCCTGCGGTCCCCGTGGGTTTGGGTTAAAACAGCGGTTGCGCAGTCCTCTAGGATACTGGCATACAACTGGAAGGGCCTGTCATACAAGGGTCTTCCGAGTGCTGGGGCACTGGCAACGGCTGTTTTAACTCAGTGAAGGCTGACCTTTGCTCTTCCAACAGGGTGAAGATCTTTGGAGCCTTGCTTGAGGCCAAAGGGGTTAACTGCTTGGTGAGTAATGTTACGTTAGGGAGCCACTGTCGGCAGTAGTTAACTAAGCCTAAGAAGGCACGCATTTGCTTGGGGCTAGTGGGCAAAGGGGTTGCTAGGATGGGTGCGATACGTTCCGGGGTTAATTGCCTATCGGAAGCACTGAGCAAAGTTCCCAGGAATTTGACCTGGCGCTGAGTGTGCTGAACTTTGGTGTGCGGTATGACATACCCCCAGGAATGGAGAGCGTTCAGGAGACGGTTGGTATCTGCAATGTTAGCAGATTCCGAAGAGCTAGCTAGGAGCAAGTCATCAACATATTGGACAATGGTAGAGCCGCTCAGGAGCTGAAGCTCCGAAAGCTGTCGGTGCAATACCTGGGAGAATAAGGTGGGTGAATGGACAAATCCCTGAGGGAGGTGCGTCCAAGTGTACTGCTGGCCCTTGAAGGTAAAGGCAAACAAATATTGGGAATCTGCTGCTAGAGGGATAGCAAAGAAAACATGCTGTAAGTCAACCAGGGTGAAAACACAGGCATTGGCGGGGATGCTGCTAAGAATCGTCGCAGGATTCGGCACAACCGGGTGTAAAGGCTGGTCTATTTTGTTGATCTGCCTGAGGTCCTGCACTAATCTCCATTCCGGGCGTCCTGGTTTTGGCACAGGTGGAATGGGGGTTTTGCAGGCGATTGGCAGGGAACTAGAACGCCTTGCTGGAGGAACAACTCAATCAAGGGTGTTATCCCTTCCATTGCCTCTGGCCTTAGCGGGTACTGAGGTATTGAAGGCAGTCTCGTTCCTGGTATAATCTGGATCTTTATAGGCTCCATGGGGGTGCATCCTACTTCATGTTTAGAGACCGACCAGAGATCGGGAAAGGGTTCTTCCGAAGGGTTGTGTTGGGGTTGATGGTGGCAGAGTGGGCCCACTGTGGTGAAAGGGCTAGAATAATAAGTTAAGCTCCCCTCGGTCAATTGTTGGGGCATGTCAGTGACACTGGGGTCCGACTGCAGCTGTAAGCGGTGAGCTAAGAATCCCAGGGCCTATGCTTTACATCCCTTGTTCACAGACAAGGTGATATGGGGAGAAACTAAACCTGGTTGGTGCCAGAGGTGGACGGGTACGTCCACCAAGAAGGCTGATCCCTCCTTACCTTCAATGTGTCCTGTAATGGTAACGGTGACAGTCGACCCTAGAAAGGGAGCAAAGGCGGCTAACAGCTCAGTGGAAGCTCCAGTGGAGTCATAACCAAGGGTTACATGGGGATTAGGGACCTGCAGAGGAGGAGTAAAATCCTCCGGCTTCAAATCAACAGCCCACCATCGGGGAGAGGAATAAATCCAAAATTGTCTCTTAGTGATATTATTTTTAATGGTGATAACCTCGTCAAGACAAAGAATTTCGACTATGAGGGAACACAACAAATCTCTTCCTGCCAGATTAATCCCTAAATCAGGGGTCTGGGCGAACTGGACAGTGCCAGTCTGGGGGCCGAATCGGACAGTTAGTGGTTCAGTCAGGGGGTATGGTCCCTCCTGCCCGGTTAGACCACTAAGGTTCACGGAGACGGGTGAGAGCTTAAACCCATGCTGGCGTACACAGGAGGTTTCAAGAGTTGAGGCTGTGGCTCCGGTATCAATCATAAAGGGGATTTCCTTGCCCTCAACAGTCAAGCATACTATCGGCTCATCCTCGGGGTCGTTGGTCAATATGGGGAAATTCGGAAGGGAGGATAGACTGAGAAAGGGTTGCTGGTACAGAAGGGTTGTCTCCTGCCCTGGGGTCTATTTTGTTGCTGTATCTGCGGACAGTCTCGCTGCCAATGATCCCTGCCCCCAAATTTAACACAGCTCTGTGTTGGCTTTGGTGTTGGCAACCGGGATGGACCAGTACGGGGCGGGTAGTTGTTATGGTTACGGAAAGGGCGTAGGGTGGCCCAAAAAGAGGTGCACTGGGACCATTTGGATGAGTGGTGTACCCATGGCCATATCTATCGACCCATCCCGGGACGCAATACTGGGGTTCCATTTGATGGCCTCTGAGGGCGTCAGGGTCTATAACAGGAGTATATGAGTCCCTGTGACAGGACTGACGAGGAGGACGCTGTACCATTTCATATTTGACCTTAGTCGGTTTAAATTCTTTATTGCTATTCCAGTAATAAGTAAGCGCCCTTCTCATTTGCGGGCGGGTGTTATCCGGCCAATCCATATTGTTAGTCCTAATAGCGGTGGCAACCGTTTCTTGAATACGTTGCAACAGTAGGGCATTAAATTGAGGTGAAGGGTCCCCTGCATTATAAGCCGTGTCACCTGCATAGGTGGCGTATGTGAAGCAGAACCGATCCAAGAAATCTGAACCCTCCTCTCCCTGCCTTGGGGCATTCTAATACTTTAGTTACATCCACCAGTTGTTGCAGGGTCTTTTGAAGAGCCCTCCGATTGCTTGGATTTGGGCCCCTGGCTGGGGAACTGCCTCAGCAAAGGCCGCCCAATCATCATGTCCCAAATTAACCTTCCGTCTAGATCTCTCACTGGGGGTCAATGCCATATAGCACAGACTGAAAAGATCCTGAGGCGTGGCCTGATACATTTGGATCGTCCCTATAGTGTAATCAATAAACTCCTCTGGGCTTGTTTTTCGGTTTGGGGCTTGGGACATGATTAAGCACATCTGTTGGGGTTTCCAAGGTGTGTAAACCTGCATGGTGGCCTGGCCTCCCTGTCCAGGGTTTGGGTTAGGGACTGTCCGCGTCGGGAACTGTCTTTGTCTGCGTTCATGGGAACCCTTTCCTGTTCGTCTTTGGTAAGAATTACTGGAATCGACCGGTCCCTCTATAACCTCACCGGAGCATTGTTCGTCTTCAGGGTCGTAAGGTTGAGACTCGTCATGTTCACTATTACTGTCTGTGTCAGTATTATAGGACAAATTGTTCTGTCCCCTATGTGTCTCAAAAGGGTTAGTCTCTTGCCTTTTCTTGGTTCTTGATCGGGTTCTGAAAGCGACCGCATCGGTGAAACCTTCCGAAGTCTGGTTCTGGTCAGCGGAGTAGGTAATATTTCCGGGGGGAACTAGCTGGGTACGTGGAGCGGAACCTGGATCAGGTTGTAGATGGGCGGACGGTGGTAGAGAATAGGGTGGGGGTAGTGGTTGCTGGTCCTTGGACTGAGACTGAGGTGGTGGTGGTGGAGCGCTGGCAGAGGGATTAGGGTATATGGGCTGATGTGGTTGGGCGGCTAGGGCACTAGGCGGAATTTGCCAATCCTCCTGGTCAACGGTGTCATGATTTTGGAACAATATTGGCAGACCAGACATGTCAGGAGGTACCTCCGTTTTATTCCCACATGATGAACCGGCTTGACACTTAAACCCTGATTCCTTATTTTGCCTCTCCTTTCTCAATCTTTCCTGTTCTGCTTTACTCATATCATAATCCTCACACTGCCGTTTCAACGCCTCCCACGACTTATCCCTCTCCGACGTGCATTATTCTCCCAGCTGGCCTGTTTAGATTTATTCATTATTTCCTCAGCAGTCTTTCTCCACGTGGATATTAAAGTTTTCCATTTTGCCCCCGTATTACGTTTCCAAATTGCCTCTTTTGCTTTTATGCATTTATCTACATCCCAAGTTCCCCCTATTGGCCAAATTTCATTTCCCAATTTCTTATTTAGGCATGCCGACAGACGTCTGAACTGTTCTTCATTTTCGGGGTCATCCCGACATAACCGATGCAAAGGGGTTCCGACACCGACTTCTCCAACGTCTGTCCCATTCTAGTGCTTCTACTTCTTACTTATTTCTATATACTAGTCCAGTGTCTTTGGTCTCCTCACCTACTTCAGGGCCCTAACCTTCGCGTGGGGGATTTCCCCTCTTAACAACTGGTCTAAGGCAGAGTGGTTGAGACAGACACTGTAGTTATCTTTTACCTTGGGTACTACGTTCCAGGGACTCGAACCCCGGTATTGGAGGACTGTAACCCCCGAATTCGCAGTACTTACAGTTAGGAGGACTATAACCCCCGAATTCGCGATACTTACAGTTAGGAGGACTCTAACTCCGAATTCCAGGGGGACTCTAACCTCCCTGAGACGAACTCGTCAGCGTACAAGTGCGTAGGTTATCTCGGAGATTCCGTCACTACAGAGTTCTAGGGGTCGACTGAGTGATTGGTTAATGAGAGAGGTCAAGGTAAATCTTACCCTGTGGGCCCATCCATCTCATGTCACCGTCACAGAGGCGATCACTTATTCAGTCCGTCTGGAAGTTCCGTATATGTTGGAATCCCACCGCTGCCACCAAATGTTGAGTTCCCTTTTAGGAGATTCCTTCGCACTTGATACAAACGCAAGACGCCAACTTCTGTGAAAAGCCACAGTTTATTTAAGCAAGTACAAGCTTTGGAGGATCACTTAACAGTCTTCGCAGGGATTGCGGAGCCGTGTCAAGCGATGCTCCCTGTAAGGGAACTGTCCTCCCTTTGTATAGGTTTTTACAGCACAGTCAGACATGCATACAAAATACAATTTTTTTTCTCCCCCATAATCACGTAACTTAATCATCTAACAGTAAAACAAAGGTTAGCTGCCCAAAAACAATGTGTAAGACGAGGTAGTTCCTTATCCTTTTAACATTTACAGAGAGCAGAGTATAATTAGATTATCACCTTTGGTCTGCGAGATCTTTTTAGCCTTAGTTCAACATTTACAGAGAGCAGAGTATAATTAGATTACCCCATTTTGTCTGCGAGACAGGGGTGCCCATGAAGCACCTAATTTCTTATATGTCAGCAGAACAGATATTAACCCTTTAACATTTGAAGAGGACTGGAAAATGCCAAATGTAACACTCCTGTTTAAGAAGGGAGGGAAGCAGAAGAAGGGAAACTGCAGATCGATTAGCCTGACCTCAGTTGTAGGTAAGATTTTAGAGTCTGTTATTATTAAGGATGAGATTACAGAGTATTTGAAAGTGAATGCTAAAATAGGGCTGAATCAGTATGGCTTCGTCAAGGGGAGG